CTACAGAGAGAGAGTTGTGACATGAGACTTGACGACATTGGATCCAGACTCGACATTGGGATTCAGACATTTTGACGAGGGACTATTTGGGCCTGTGCTGAACACTTGGTGTTGACGACATTCCCATCTTTCCTTCTTCTTCGTCTAACCCCACCTCCTTCGTCTGTGTATGGTTGGGGCTGGCGCAGTCTTCTTGTGTGAAGCGCCAGACCCCTTCGCACCATGATGATGATTATGTATGTTCAGGGCTGCATTACAATATTGATTGTTCGGATCATTGGTATCCGCTGTGCTATCTTATACTTTGTATTGAAGGGTCGGTTCTTGTTCTGGTCTGCACCTATACGGTATGCAACAGATATTGTGTTGGTGTGGCCTACGGGCTTGAACATTGGCTCATTACTTCATTGTATTGCTCTATATCGATTGTTTTCTCGGTGCATTTGTACGCTCTGCTTGGGTTACGACTACTTGGACAGCCGTGTGATTTCGCAACTTGGTTTCCTGTATATCGCTCACACTCATATTCCTTGCAATTTAAAAAAACAAAGAGAACGACACAACAAAGCACCAACAGAGCCCAATGGAAAAGTGGTTTGTTCTCTCTGTTTTTTCCCCCACCTTACATCCTTTGACTCGTTTCACTTCATTCCCAACGTCTTCACCCGAGTATAATGCCCGGTCATTACAGCTTTATTTGGGGTAACTTTCACTCCATATGCAGTGACAATGACGTAGGGCAGGCATTCTATTCGGGTGACGACAGCAGTTAGTTGATTTGTTGGCCTCTATTGTTGATGCATCCACGCTTCGCGACTTTGTGTGCTGGTCTCCTTGCACAGGTGAAAATTTCTGAGCTGGATGAATTTGCGCAGCTTGCATTCGAAGGGTACAAAACCCTTAATCGGATTCAGAGTCGCATATTTGACACTGCCTACAATACAAACGAGAACATTCTTGTGAGTTGATATACAACATGCTCCCTTTCTCTTTTTTCCCGAGCCTTTTTCGGCTTGCCCCAGGGCCACTTTCTGCAGATGGCAGAGAAAACCCTACTTCCCAGATCGGCTATCCAACAGACCAACTGGAAAAAAAGAAGTGGAGGCAAACATACGTATGCTTTTCTGTGTGTTATAGTTGCTGTGTCATAACCATATCGGTTGCACACATGAGGTGGTGGCTTACATGCGAACTTCCTCCTACTTGACTCTTCCCTCGTATCTTCTTTCCTTTGTCTCTACACTTGCAGTTTCTCTACTCTTGCAGTCCCATCTCACCCCTGTTTTTCCTGCAGGATCATGTCCCCTTAACAATGGCATCATTTTGAGCGGCACCCCCTGGCAGCCAGTCCATGGTTGTTGCGTCTGCTAACTGATGACTTTAAACCCTCGTAAAGGAAGAAAAGAAAACTAATGGGCCTAGCTCAGTTGGTACACCGATGAACTGTTGAAATAGAGACCTCAGTTCGAATCTCAAGCACAGCTCAGATGAGTAAATAACTCTGAATTTTCCTGGGGTTGGTCAGTTTGAAGATGATATATGAAGGCCATCTCCCTATTTAAAAGAAGAAAAAAAGAAAAAAAAAGAAAAGAAGAAAAGAAAAGAAAAAAAAAAAAAAAAGAAAAGAAAAAAAAGAAAAGAAAAGTCCAGAACAACAAAACCAGTTCCAGCTTCTGAGTCGCGGAAACCAAGGCCAGAGAGGCTGGTCGCGAAAAGTGACTGGTGTTCTTAGCTTGGCTTTCGACTCAGTTAAGTCATGCCATTCCTCTCCAGAGCACTGATCGGTCTCGTGAGTTCCTGGAAATAGCCTGAATCAACCTGATAGAGACTTCCTTCTTCCCTTTCCCCCTCTCCCTCTTTCCCCTTCTTTCCTCCCTCCCTCCCTGCTTCCCTCCTTCCCTCTCTTACAATAGTAGGAGCATCCAAGAAGTGTGTTCGGAGGTGGTTGAGAGGTTTATGTTCGGCTGAACGTCTTACCCTAGGAACGAATGCTTCGTCCTAGATTCAGAACACTGGGCCGAAATGTCAGCCCAAAACTGGAGGAAATGACCACATTTGTTTTGTACTCAGGCATACGCTTTGCATCTGATCTATTTTGAGAGTGGAGCCAAAGGCCCAACAGGGAAAAAAGCAGAGAGCGCTTTCTCTTATTTGCCACTTACGGCCGAAGGATGATTCTTATATGGAAACTCTGTAGAATAGAGTCTAACAGACTCTTGACTTGTTTGCAGTGCATGTTGCACAAAAGAACATGAACCTGCATTGTTGTTTTCCTTTTTCGGAATTGAACTGAGCTTGTTAATTCCTGTGACTGTTTTGTAGGTATGTGCTCCCACAGGTGCTGGGAAGACAAACATTGCCATGATCTGTGTGCTGCATGAGGTATGTCTTCAATCAACAGTAATAATCGCCGATTAGAGAAAAGCGTGATGTGTAATGCGATCGAGCTAGCTTTTCCATAAGTGTGCCTTCGTGAGCCTTTTGTGATTGACTTTCACGGGCATTTAGAATGCTTGAGAGTCGTCCACTTAAGCGCAAAAGTGAAACGCGAGCCCGCCTGCTCTGTCTTTTCCTTCCTTTCCTCTCCTTCATGCGCCCCCTGGCACCCCTCTCCTCCCTCCCTCCCCCTTCCGCCTGCTCCTGTCTTGATCTTCTCCTCCTCTTACCCTCCCTCTGCTCCCTTCTCCTCCTCTTATTGGGCAACATTTCGTTGTCTCCTTCCTCTTCTTCTTACTTCTGTTTGTTGTCTCCTCGTCGTCCACCCCACGCTGCCAGCTATCCAGGCGGCATTGGGCCAGAGTAGCCTGCCTCAAAAAATAAAGACCTTCAAATGGTTTTTCAGGCTGCTTTGGCTCAATGCTATTAGGCTATAGAGTAGACCTTCAAATGGTTTAGTGGGCTACTGTGGCCTTTGAAGTGCTGTTTCTTTTACGTCCTGTTTTTTTTCACCTGGAGTTGGGGCCGAGCAGCCTGTAAAACCCCCGTCAATGGCCAGAGTACCCCTTCAAACCTTTGAAGAATTGTTCATTTTCAAGTTTTTGAGGTTGGAGGAACTTGGAACACAGGCTCAAATAATTCTAAAGTTTTGGATGGCCAAGTGGTGTCAGAAAGTGTGAGTTAAGCGAAGTACCAAATGTGAAGTGCATGGGCTGAAACTGGAGTGCAGAGGATCAGATCTTACGTGCATGCATGACAGGTGATGACTGACAATGGCCACCAACTGTTTACTTGGGCCTTACAATGTTACAGTTGTGATCCTGAACAGTGTGAGGCGGATTTCATCACTTGGAGGGCCAATTTCCAACTTCGGCAAGCAGGGTTCAAAATTCAAATGCCAACAGCTTCTATCCTCCTCCCTAATTCATTGTGACTCTTTTTGCTTGCCGGTGAGAAGCAACCGGACTGGAGCCCCCCAGAATAGAAGGGGCAGTGTGTGTGTGTGGTAAAAAAAAAAGAAAAAAAAAAAGCATAAAACTGCATTCAAACCCTGATCCTACTCGGAGGTGAGGGGCAGGAAAGGGAGACGGAGAGGGTGTGGGCTGGTTGTGTGGTTTTCAAGATTGGGTTTGGGAACTTTGGGGTTATGCTGTTTGTAAAGCTAGAGTTTGTAAGAAACAGCCCAATGTGGCGTGCTGCCGACAGCACATAAGGGATCATATTAAGATGATGCCAACAACAACAACTAAGAAGAAGAAGAAGAAGAAGAAGAAGAAGAAGAAGAAGAAGAAGAAGAAGAAGAACTTTGCAACTGGAGGAAGAAGAAGAACTTTGCAACACATTTCTTGACCTTACAAGATGGAGGGTGAAGAGGGGAAGCAAAAGCAGGAGCAGGTGGAGTTGGTGGACTACAGCAGAGAGCCAACGGCCACTGAGTATCGTAGTGGGTGTAGACCAGTACATCAGCTAATTGGTGCTTAACGGTTGGGAGTGAGAGGGTGGTTGCTGGTGATGCAACCTGGCACCAGTGTTCTCTTTTTATTTTTCAAATGCATTCATGCTGGCAGCTCAGTTTGGGTCTGTTCAGCACCAACCTTCGCCTACCCGTGCTTACTTATACAATAGATGCTTTTGTTCTTGGCTTGACCTGAGTTTGTTCTGGAGTTCATTTGAGCTGCTGGGATCCTTTTGCATCAAGTCGATTCTAGCCCTGTCAAGTCCTGTGTCTGATGCTCTCTGTGCTGCTCCTCCTCCTCGGCTTCTCCAAACCTGCTGTATTGAGTTGGTGTGTGTGCGAGTTCATCTCTCTCTCTCTCTCTCTCTCTCTCTCTCTCTCTCTCTCTCTCTCTCTCTCTCTCT